GGGGAGAGCTGTGATAACCTTGTCTTTGTACCTTTCCAGCTATCCGCTATACCCCACCCAACACATACTGAGCTGTGGCTTCTTACTCTACCAGGTTTGGGGATGAGAGGGAGTGAGAACCAAGGAAAGGGATGATTTTAATGAATGGCATAGCTAAAATCTGCCTTTTGTTCTCTCTGCATATGGTAGTTGTTCAAAGCTGATTCTTTCTCTTATGAAAGTTTTCATGTTATCTGGTCACATTTCTACCTCTTGAATTTTTGCTCAGTGGTCTATCATATTCAAGACCAAAACAAAAATCTAATGAATATTAATACTTACAATGAGTGTGTCAGGCACTGTACAAGGTGCCAGGATATTTATTCAAACTCCTGGCAACTCTAAACACAATGCAAAAGGACCTATTAGAAAATATATTTTCTGTCTCAATAATCTTAACTTTAACTTTTCAATTGTATTTGATCATAAACTCTTACCTTACAAGGTAATTGCTATTGTGAAAAAGGCATTGGTCATTAATAATCTCATTTCCCAGATGTTATTTGATACATGCTATAAATTATGTTACCTCCAATATAGTATGCACTTTGTACTTAGAAACAGAAAAACTATCTTCAGACAGCATGCATTCTAATTCTTGAAATAAACATGCCCACAAATTGTAGTTTAAGACAAAGTAAGTATGCTTATCATGTTTTAATTCAGTTGAATTTCAGAACATCTAAGGAATTTATGGAAAGAGAAATTAGAATGAGTTAGCATTAGAGTAGTTAGGTATCTCTTGAACTTTAAACTTCCATATCACAGTACAAAGATATTTCTAAGATAAAAAATAGAATAAATTCTCTGTTAAGTACAGACCTGGAACCCTGGTTACCTAGAGGCTGACTCAACTGAGATCATGGCATTTGATGGTACTTGGAAGGTAGACCGGAGTGAGAACTTTGACAAGTTAATGGAAAAAATGGGTAAAGACTTCATTCCTTCATGGCTCATTCTCTGCTTTCTCACAGACATTTTTCTTTCCTAACTCCTAAACCTCTGGGCTTAGGGATGGATCCTGACGTGATGATGGCAAGGATCCAGAAGCCGTGATGGTTTGGAGTTGGGAAACCATATTCTCACCTTTTATAGGAGAAAGAATCCATTGTCTCATTAGTGGAAGAAAAGATTCTTTGAGTGCTGTACTCTGAACACAAAAAAGATTCAGATAGGTTTCCTTCACTCTTTAACTGTTGACTGTACCTCTGTCACTGAAAATTGACATTTTTGTTGTTTGTTTGTTTGTTTGTTTGGAGTAAGAAAATGGCAGTGTAATGATAACTTCTAGGTTTTAAAACATTAAATTCTTGGAGATGGAAAAGCAGAGACCATATAATAAAGTAATGGAAAGGAGTTCTATCAAAACTTATAGCTCTGAATACATTAGATTTAATTCTCATCTCCTCTGACTTACAAAACTTTGGGAATAATCTTGAAAAGCTATGTATTTTCTCTGAGTGTTTTAATTTAACAGATTTATAAATCTATACCAATACTCTGGCAGCCCAGATACTGTACAAGTTGGCAAACAAATTTGTGTCATTCCCTCAAAGGAAAAATCTGCATTAATTACATCCTATACATTAGAGATTTCAAGTTTAAATTTATAGAACTTGTACATTCTTATAATAATAAATTTGGCTATAAAATTTGCTAATTTTCCCATTTTTGTGTCAGTCAGAAATGCTACAAAAAGCAAACAGAATTACAAAGTTCAAAATGTAAAAGCCATTACGGACGGCAAAGGGGCATTTAAGAAAAAAGTGCTGTATGTTCAGAATCAAAGTTGTGCTTCTTTATAAGTACATGAATACACCTTTTAATATTTGATATTTCCAGAATTTGACTTAACACTGAAACAAAAAGTTTGTTAATTTTATTGAAATTACTCAGCTCTAACATTCAATAATTCTGTACTTCATTTAATTTTTCTTCGGTTTTAGAAAAACATCAGTTTTCTTGATCTGATTGACACTGAACTTTTTTCTACAGAGGCAATCTGAATGCTCTTTTGAAAAGGCAATGCTATCAAGTCCCCTCCTCCCCCCGCCAAAACATAAGTTGGAAAAATTAAAACTTTCTACGGCATTCTTACTTTATTTTCTCCAACATCTTTCCTTTTACAGGTATTAATATAGCGAAAAGGAAGATTGCAGCTCATGACAACTTGAAACTGACAATTACACAAGAAGGAAATAAATTCACGGTCAAAGAATCAAGCACTTTGCGAGATGCTGAAATTGTTTTTGAACTTGGCGTCACCTTTAATTACAGCCTACCAGACGGAACTGAACTCAGTGTAAGAAATTTTTTATAAGCAATGCATTTTTGATTTTTCCACTCAATACTAAAATGATTTCTGCTTTACATCACTGGATGGTTTAATTACAACAGGTCGCCGTCATTTACTGAAGGAACCAATGAAGTTTGTCCACATTATATATTGCACAGATTGGCAGGGTATTGAAAATAATGCTTTTATTTCCGTACACATCTGTGAAGAATCTGGATTGAACAATAAGAATTGGAAAAATATCCTTCGAATGACTTAGTATACACCTATTCATAAAGAAATTTAAAGCTCAACTTTACACACCTGACAGCAACAAAAGCTTTTAGAGTTACACACCTTCAATGAAATAGCCATTTAATAAGTATATTGAAATAATAAAATAAGTGAATAAAGTAATAGATGAGTGAGTAACCAAATGGAAAGGTCTAATGCCACATGGAAGATCATTGGGACTGTACCTTTTCATGGTTAAGATAAAAAAATTTTAGGAAATCATCATTTTCAATTGGTATTTTTAAAACTGTTTTTAGCCTCAGAACTTTTCTAGTTAAATTATATGTTTGCAGTGACAACTGTTGAATATTTTATCAACTATGCCATTTTTAATTATCACCACAATCATATAAATTAAAACAAGCATGGGTTGTTAGCCTCCCCATGAAACTAATTTGAACCATGACTAAATTTCTGGACACTCTTTATTTACTTATTTATTTGAGACATATCTTGCTCTGTTGACCAGGCTAGAGTGCAGTGGCATTATCATAGCTCACTGCAACCTCAAACTCCTGGACTCAAGCAATCCTCCCACCTCAGTCTCCCAAGTATCTGGGACTACAGGTGCGTGGCACCATACGCAGCTAATTTTCCTATTTTTGGTAGAGACGGGGTCTTGCTCTTGCTCAGGCTGGTCTCAATCTCCTGAGCTCAAGCGATCCTCCTGCCTTGGCCTCCTAGAGTGCTAGGATTATAGGCGTGAACCACTGTGCCCAGCCTGGACACTTCTCTTAACATGGAAGATTTAGAAAAAGAAGCCCTCTCAACCGCCTTAAAATGCAGCATATGCAAATTATCAAGGGAGACAAGCATAATGGTTACCAACACATACTCTAGAGCCCCATGGCCTAGGTTCAATCCTGACTCTGTGACTTTGGGTGACTTACTGTGCCATTTTACGATCTCCTCTTCTGTAAAGTGGAGAGAATAGTATCTACTTCATAGGGTCACTGTGAAGATTAGATGAAAAAGTGGATCTACAGAATTCAGAACCGTGCCTAACATGTGTAAGACCCTAATACATGCCTTGCTGTTGTTGTTATGTAGGGGACCTGGAAGCCGGAGGGAAATAAACATGTTGGAAAATTCACACGGCTAGACAATGGAAAGGAAACGAATGTTGTCCGAGAAATTATAGGTGGTGAACTAGTCCAGGTACGTTGTAAAAAGATTTATAACTATTTTCCAAAGGCAAAAATGATTACATAATAATAATTTTTTGTCATAGCTGAATATATCTTCAGTAAATAGACTACATCTTTTCTTGTAAAACTTACTATTAATATTTTAAAAACACAGTGTAGATATTTTCTGATGCCTATTTAATGAAGAGAACTTATATATGTATACACCAAATAATCAGTGCCTATTTTAACTGAAAATGTAAATGACTACAAACCAAATGTGTTTTTAATGGGTGTATCCTATATCTGTATAAAATGTTGCTATCAAGTACAAGAAAAAATAGTATAAACTCATTTAAAGCTATAACAATACTAATATTTTTCTTAATTTAGACTTAAATCTTAATGCTAAATTCTTTCTTGTTTGTTAACACATTTCAGACTTACACATATGAAGGAGTAGAAGCAAAGAGGATCTTTAAAAAGCAATGAGCATCATTCTTGGAGCACAGCCCAGAATATAAATTAGATGGAAGATCTATATTGTATCAGAGCTGTTTTTCTCTCTCCTTCAAGGGTACTGACTGATTAATCCTTTTACACACATTGGTATATTTCCATTATTGCCAAAGCAAAAGAAGTAAAAGCTAATTAGGATTTAATTTTTTTACATTCTCTAAGATATGCATTTATCAGCATTTAAAAGAATTTGCAACATTTTTAAAAACAGAAGAATAAATATTGTTAATATTATTTCCATGTTGCTTTATAGGTAGCCTCTCCTTTAAATAAAAAAAAACAATGTGATATATACATTGATAGATTTTTTTTTCTTTTCACATTTGGCAAACTAAAAACATGGGCTATATGGGGCTCTTTAAAATCTTTACTGGTTGTGACTAATTTCCTTGGTAACATTTATTATTATAAAAGTAATATATGCTTGATCAGAAAACTCAGAAATAAGAAAAACAAATGCAAAATAAATATTTCCATAAACCCGCAATCCAGAGATAATTATAATTCATTCTGATTTTGATAGATATCTTCCCACTCCTCTTTTCCAGATGTAGGTATTTCCCAATTCATATATCACTTCGAATAAGATGACAGGAAACAAATGATGTGCTAAGTTACATGATTGTATTATATCTTTCTACACTGTTAGTAATTCTTAGACCTGTATGAAAATCAAGACCACCTGAGAAACTTAAAAAATTTTTGCATTCTTAATTTCTGCTGTCGATCTACTACATCAGAATCTCTAATAGAACCAGGAACTTTTGAAAACTTCCTGGTGATTTTGATGTAGCCTGTCCACACTAACCAGTCTTTGAGAACAATGGCACTATCAGATACCAAAACGTCATTTTTAATAGCCCTCCTTTTCCCAGCCCCACCATAAGCCCAAACACTTCCAATTTGTTAGGGTCCAAAAAGTTGCTTTTTACGCATATTTTCACATGATGTACTATTTGATGAGCTTCAAGCAACTGCATTTTAACAGGATGTGTATTAGGAAGTAAAGAGAGATCCATTTTTTAAGCATTTGCAACTGTCACTCCATGGATTTTTGACAAATTTTTCATACTGCTGTAGATAACAGCTAACATTTACATGATTCTTACCACTGTCCTAAGTGGTATATACATGTGAAAGATACATTACAATCTAAGAAGAAAAATGTTTGAGTACACAAAGGAAATTAACAAATTAGAAAATATGTAATCTTTTGCAAAAATAAAAATTTAAATCCACTGTTGATTTTAAAACTTCATAAAAATCTTCATATAGGAAATAGTAATTATTTAGATTTTCACATGCTTCTTTTCATAAAAGTTCAATGTACTTTTACCTCTCTAATCTTACTCATCTGCATATGTGAAATAGGAAAAGGGCAGGTATTAATCTCATTTGAGGGGTGGAGAGATTAAGGGACAAAGAAGTTTATTAGCTTGTCTAATGTACAAAGCCCATGATCAACAAAAGAATTAAATGTAGGTCTTGACTTTCAGTCTGGTACATTATGATCTATGCTATTACTCAGCCTGTTATAAACAAAAATATATTTTAAAAAATATCCCTTAATTCCTTAGTGGCACCCAAGAATAGAAATCCAAATAAGTCGGAATATAAAATAATGGTGATTCAGCAGTTGGACATTTATCTATTTCTAGCCTTACTGCAGACTTACTTTTTTTCGCAATTTCTATCCTTTCTAGTATTAAATTTCCACTATTTATTACTATTGGAGAATAGCCTATTATTTGCTAAGTAACTGCCATTTCAACAACCCCTTTTCGGGAAACTGACCTTGTCATTATGCCATTCTGCTTGGCCAAAAGAGGGTACCTGACGCAAAACAGCTAATCTACCACAATTTGGCCAGTTTATGAGGTCTGTGCAGAAGGAAGAGGCTGGGTGCAGTGGCTCATGCCTGTAATCCTAGCATTTTGGGAGGCCAAGGTGGGAAGGTTGCTTGAGGCCAGGACCTCCAGACCAGCCTGAGCAAGAACGAGACCCCCATCTCCACAAAAAACAGAAAAAGTAGCTGGGTGTGGTGGGGTGTGCCTATAGACTCAGTTGCTCAGGAGGGTGAGGCACGAGGATCACTTGAGCCCAGGAATTTGAGGTTACTGTGAGCTAGGCTGACACCACTGCACTCAAGCCTGGATGTCAGAGCGAGAACCTGTCTCGGGGGGAGGAAAAAAAGGAACAATAGCAACTAACTGAACCTAGAAGAACCTCTTTTTAGAAAGTTTGAATTTGAGAAATACAGTTAGTAGTTGGTAGGAAGGAAAAAAGTTTCAAGAGGACAAAGAGGGCAGACAATAAGTAGAAATCATGAGTATATGAAACCATGAGCAAGCAGAAGCCCTAGGGTAGATAGCAGCCTGGAAGGGGGGGAAGTTAGTTAGAAGCAGCTGAAATAGTAAAAGCTGAAATATTTACACATGAAATACAGTACCTGGGCTTTGTTTCAAATTATTTTCCCCCAATCTAGGGTTGGGGAGGAAGTGAAAGAGATTTCTATAAGAAACAAGATTGGTACAAAATGATAATTTTTGCAGCTGTTGAGAGTGTCTGACACATAGTAACACAAGATAGGTTCACTGGGTACCTAGTAGGAACATGGGACTTCATTATACTCTTCCCCCTACTTCTCTACGTATTTGAAATTTTCCATAATAAAAAACTAAATGTATAATGCTTGCATATACATGTAACTCCAGAATCCAACCATTTCCCATCACTTCCACCGCTACCACCTCAGTCTGAGCCACTATTATCTTTCCCCTGGATTACTATAACCCCCTAAAAAAGCTCCTAATTTCTACCTCCTCTATCCTACCCTCTTACTCTCTTTTTCGATATAGCAACCAGAAGGACCATTACAAATCTAAGTCAGATATGTCACTTCTCTGCACAAAATGCTGCAATGGCTCTCATTTCATTCAGAGGTAAAAAGCCAATGTCTTTACAATGGCCTGTAAGACCCTGCATGATATGATCAGATCCCCCATTACCTATGTGACAGGTAGTCCTGTTTTTCACGGGAATATCTAGAAGAAGAATGTTCCAAGCAGAGGAAACACCATGGAGCAAAGGCCCTAAGGCAGAAGCTAGCCCAATAAATTATCAACAGAAGAACAGGGACAGCCTGGAAAGAGTTCCCAAGAGCATTCAGAGCTGACCAAATACAAGACCAATGTTCAGGGAATACAGGCTCACTCAGCCTCCCTAAAATTCAAGAATGATGTGGTAAAAAGGGAATGGGTTTTTGAATCACAGATTTGCTTAAACTCTTACCTTTCCACTTAATAAAAGTCAAGTTCTGATCCTGAATTTTTCTCACTTGAAAAGTGGGAAAAACAGTAATGATTTTCTGAGATTGTCGTTAACTGAGGTATTATACATAAAACATGGAGCACGGTGCCCCGCATTTACTGAGCTGGTACTATGTAAATGTAAGTAACACAAACACGCACCCTGTTCTCATAGAGAAAGTGGAACACATGTCTTGAATAGACACGAAAGCTTTTTCCTCAAGATATCTCTCACGGAGTCCATGCGAGAGAGCAAGTTTTGGCCTCATAGATTAGAATGCTTAGTTCCGGTCCAGTCTGTGGCATAATTAGCTGGAGACTTTGGGAGAGTCACCTCATCTCTCTGGAATATAGTTAAATCATCTTTAAAATGAGGGGATTGAACCAGATCTCTAAATTCCTCCAGTGCTGAGATTCTATGTCTGAATAACATTCAGTGATTCTTCCTTTCTTAAGCAGCCCTTTCGGTGTGTGTCACAGGGAAGAGAGCATTGGAAAGACAAAAGACAGGGTGGGAAGAGGGAAAAATCATTTATGTTATTAAGTATGGTCGGTTTCATGGGTACACAACATGCATGAGCTCAGAAGGGCCCTGTGCTTGGTTTCATGTTCTGCTGTTACTGTCTTAAAATTCCAAATAATTTTTGAATGAGAAGTCCTACATTTTCATTTTATGCTGGACCCTGCAAATTATATAGCTGGTCCTATTCCTGTAAGTGGACTATTAATAAGTACAAAAGATATTTTCTTGTGAGCCAGAGAGACTGGCAGCAAGAAATCCCATGGCACCTGAAGAGAGGTGAGCGGGTGGGTAAGATAGTCGCCAGCAGCAGAATGGAAGTGGGAAGGGTTTGTGGGGAAAGGGAAGGGAGGAAGGGGTAGATGGACACTTCAAACAACTATTCTTTACCTTCTACTGCTACTTGCTTTCTCAAACTACAGTATAAGAGTGCCATCTGCTGGTGAAGGACATGCACTCTTTCAGAAGAGTCAAATGGAGTCTCTTTTTTGCATTTCAGTTAGCCTCTCAGAAGAGTGTTTCAGAAAGGTTTGACATTCTGAAGTTTAAAAGGATAATCATCAAATGCTTCTTCAGTTCCAAATTCCATACTAAACAAAACTAATACAAAGACTCTTCTTCTATCCTTCTGAACCAGTTCCCTAAAGCTGCCTTCATTTATTGAATAAAAAATAATTTTAAAAAAGCATTATGTGCCAGCCATCAAGTATTCAATGATGAACACCATTGGTAGAAATATTTAGGTCATCAAGAATTTCCTCAAATGGATCCAAATTCTCAGGCTCACCTTGGGTCTGAAACAAAATACCTAGAACAGCAGCAACATTTCAACACTGGATGGTCATCTAGGGGTAGGGTTACACTTCCACTCAGTGTGTGCTAAAATGCAGGGTGGTGTGTATTTATGACCGTTAGGCCTAGTGACCAACCCATAGGCTACTGACTGGAAAAGAAGAGTAAGCAAGGCAATGGCAAAAGATCAGGAAAGTTAGGAGGCATGGTGCAAATCAACGACATGGATAAAGGATAGTGTTCCAGAGAGCTTCTTTTTCATTCAGTCTACCCTGAATGAGGAATCCATTAGATGAAGGGTTATCAGAAGTCCTCCCTGCCACGTTATCTAGATTACCAAGAATAAAAGAGGGAACTTAAATAACTGAGTGTTTTTATCATGAAAGGGTGTTGGATTTTTCCAAATGCCTTTTCTGCATAATTTAAATGAAACGTTTGTGTTTTTCTCCTTTGTTCTACTAATACAGTATCTTAATTTTCTTATATTGAACTATTCTTGCATTCCTGAGATAAACCTCACTTGGTCATGATACATAATCTTTTTATATATGCTGTTGGATTTGATTAACTACTACTTTTGAGAATTTTTGCATCTATATTCATAAGAGATACTGGTCTGTAACTTTTTATAGTGGTAAAAGAACATAAAATTTACCATGTTAACCATTTTCAATGTACAGTTTAGTAGTGTGAAACATATTCACACTGTTGTGAAACAGATTTCTAGAACTTTTCATCATACGAAACTGTAACTCTAGACCCATTACAACGCTTTTTCCCCTCTCCCCACATTAACCACCATTCTACTCTCTGTTTCTATGAATTGGACTACTCTAGATACCTCATATAAGTAGAATCATACAGTCTTTGTCTTTTTGTCACTGGCTTATTTCACTTAGCATAATGTCCTCAAGGTTCACCCATGTTGTAGCATGAGACAAGATTTCCTTTCTTTTAAGGCTGAATCATATTCCACTGCATGTATGTAACACGTTTAGTTTATCCTTTCATGTGTTGGTGGACATTCAGGTTGCTTTCATCCCTTGGCTATTGTGAATAGGGCTGCTATAAACATGGGTGTGCAAATATCTGCTATTCTCTTTTTTTGTGATGTCATCATTTGATGCCAGAGGCTTTGGTATCAGGGCGCTAACCTCATAGAATGAGTCAGGAAGTATTCCCTACACTTGTATTTTTTGGGAGAGTTTGAGAAAGACTCAAAAGTGTTAATTCTTCTTTAAATGTTCAGTAGAATTAACCAGAGAAGCGACCTGGTCCTAGATTTTTCTTTGTTCAGACATTTTGATTACTGATTCAATCCCTTTACTTATTATATGTGTATTGAGATTTTCTATTTCTTCTTGAGTCAGTTTAGGTAACTGATATTTTCCTAAGAATTTGTCTATTTCATTTACCTAATTTTTTGGCATACAATTATTCATAGTACTCTCTTATAATCCCTTTTATTTCTGTAATATTGGTAACAGTATCTCCACTTTTATTTCCGATTTTAGTTATTTGTCTTCTCATTGTTTTGTCAGTCCAATTAAAAGTTTGCAAATTTTGTTGATCTTTTCAAAGAACCAACTTTTGGTTTCATAGATTCCATGTTATTTTTCTATTTTTTTTTATTTCAGCATATTACAGGGGTACAAATGTTTAGGTTACACGTATTGCCTTTGTCCCACTCGAGCCAGAGCTTCAAGCTCTACATATTTGTGAATGGATTTTCCAATTTTTCTTCTGTTACTGACTTCTAGCTTCATTTCATTGTGGCCACAGAAGACACTTTTTGACTTCAATCTTTTAAAACTTATTGAAACTTGTTTTGTGGCCTAATAGATGTCTATCGTGGAGACTGTTCCATGTACACTTGAGAAGACTGAGTATTCTACTGTTGTTGGGTGGAGTTCCATATATGCCAGTTAGGTCTAGTTGGTTTATAGTGTTGTCCAAGTCCTCTATTTTCTTATTGTTCTTCTGTCTAAAATGTTCTATCCATTATTAAAAATGGAGTATTAAAGTTTCCAAAAATTTTTGTAGAACTCTCTCTCCCTTCAATTCTGTCTAATTCATATATTTTGACTCAGCATGTGCTTGTTTGTTCTAAACTTTTGACTGTTTTTCAGCATTCTGACATAGTTATTTCAGACAGTTTTTGCTTTTCAATATTTCTGTGGAGGGATGGGAACATAGAGCAGCTATTTCACCAGTTTGAACATGGGTTGCCAAAGGTGACTTTTTTTTAAGAGACTGGGTCTCTGTTGCTCAGGCTGGAGTGCAGTGGCGTGATCATAGCTCACTGTAGCCTCTAACTCCTGGGCTCAAGTGATACTCCTGCTTCAGCTTGCCAAGTAGCTGGGAGTACAGGTGTGGGCCACCATGTCCAGTTAATTTTTCTTTTGTTTGTAGAGACAGAGTCTCACTATTTTGCCTAGGCTGGTCTCAAACTCCTGGCCTCAAGAGATCCTCCTGCCTCAGCCTTCCGAGTTGCTGGGATCACAGGTGTAAGCCACCATGCCCAGACAAGCTGACTTTTTGACACAGCTCTCACCAGAACAGAAGAAAAAGTAAGTCTGTTTTCCAACAGGACATATTTATAGATAGGAACAGAAAAGCTGAGCTTCTCCCATAGAGGACTGAAGCCATATTCCCTGCATCTATCTCTTCCATTCCAAGTTGGTACTTGAGTAATCGCTGAGAAATCACAGAGCTCCACGAAATTTGGTTAGAAAAACACTGTTACTGTATCATTAAAATCATACATCATCAAAATTATGTGCCTACTATCTATGATATGATGTTAGAAATAAACGATTAATTTTGGCCTAGACTTTTTCTTGCTTATTTTCTTTCTTTCTTTTTTTTTTTTTTTTGAGACAGAGTCTCACTCTTTTGCCCGGGCTAGTGCCGTGGCGTCAGCCTAGCTCACAGCAACCTCAAACTCCTGGGCTCAAGCAATCCTTCTGCCTCAGCCTCCCGAGTAGCTGGGACTACAGGCATGCACCAGCCACCATGCCCGGCTAATTTTTTTCTATATATTTTTAGTTGTCCGATTAATTTCTTTCTATTTTTAGTAGAGACGGGGTCTCGCACTTGCTCAGGCTGGTTTCAAACTCCTGAGCTCAAACAATCCGCCTGCCTCGGCCTCCCAGAGTGCTAGGATTACAGGTGTGAGCCACTGTGCCCGGCCCTTATTTTCTAACTTACTTGTTTTCAGCAAACTTTCTCTCCAACTTCTAGATGATGAAATGCATTTTCATTGAGAAAATAAGAAAAAGCACAAAGAAAAAAACTGTGAACCCATCTCCCAGAGATAACTGCTATTAACATGTTGACATTTCTCAAACTTATAAAATAAGTCGCTCAAAGTTGAGGTTTGCTCAAAGGGATAAATTAAAATAAATAAATAAGTCTAATTTTTGTCAATATTTTACATATAGCAATGATCACCTTGGCATCCATTTACTTACTCTAGATTATGCCTGTGGTAAAGTTGTTTTGCTTAGGCTTGGAAACCTACTATATAATTTTATGCGATAAGACATGGCACATAGTAGCTGACCTTTCAATCTCCATCCTCAATGACCGTCCCTCCAACACTCTTCAATAAAACGAACAGTTGATTGTTCAGTTGACTAGCATAGTGAGATTTCAAGATTGTAGGTTTCAACATCTTTGAATGTATCAGTAAAGCTTTGCCTTATTGAAGTTGTTTTTAAACTTTAAAAAGCATAAAGATGCCTTAATATGAAATAAAGTCTTGTATGAAACCCTGAAATATAAACAAAGCTAAGTATTATGATTGAAATCTGATAGGACATGTGTAAGCAGATAGGTGAAAAAGGGTTGGTAGATTGTTCATAGCCCATCCTGCTTGGGTTTCCCCAAACCCAAATCATTATGTAGAACCTCGGGTCTCTGTGATAGTGTTTGAAAACTTCATTGCTCTGTTAGATACCCTCTGTCAGTACTTCTAATGAATTGGATGGCTACTGAATCTCTCCCTCTTATGGTTCTTCAGACAGTGCCTGACACACGGTAGGAATTCATAATTTATTTACTAAAATTAAAGAAGGGAAATCCACAAAGGGAAAATAGATTAATAGGTTAATACTTCTAAAAACCTCAGAAAGTATCCCAAAATGGTAGATCAGTAGTATTAGATCCCAGTGGTATCGCTACATTATTATGTTCTAAAAAGAGACAATGCAACAAGTGCTTTTTGACCAGAAATTTATTTAGTGGTTGCAGAATATAATAAAACATAGAGCAATAAATATTAAATTTCATCCATGGTCAAGGCACTGTTTGAAGGGCTGTGGAGGTTGCGAAGATGGTAAAAATACAATCTCCCCCCTAAAGTATACTTAATTCTCTAATGGGGGGACAATTTACATAAAATTGCTACAAAGCAAGCCAATATGTCAGACAATACATCAAGAAAATTTCAACATTTTTTGAGTTGGAGGTAGAGAAATTTTAAAAGATAACCACTCTAATAGATAGCCTCATTAAAAGGAGGCGTTATCAAATGAAGAGAGAAATAGGTGCTGAAGGCAGGCAAAAGACTATGGAAACAAAACACTTCACTCACTGCCTTAATCTTGAGAAAATAACCCTCTCTCCAAGAAGAAAGTAAGACATATGAAGTACTTGGAGACAAGTTAAATGTGAAGTTTTTGCAATTGGTATGTTAGAAATAGTTAGAATGGAGAGATCAATGTGAATTGTAGCAAAGGAAACTTTATGAAGTTGGCACTTTGAGTTGAGCCCCAAAGGATGGGTAGCACTCAGGTGCAGAAGCGTTCCAGTTTAATCAGAACAACATGCATCACAGCCCAGAGACCAAAAGAATAGCTTCCATGAGGAAGAAGGAAGAAAGCAATCTGACTAGAGCAAAGGGTGTTTGCTGGGCATCAGGTTGGCTGAGTTGGGTGGAGCCAGATTATTAGTAGGTACAAAGATGGGAGCTGCCAAAGGCCAAAATGAAGATAACAGAGAAGCTGCAGTTATGATGACAGTACAACTCTTAAACAAAGAAAACTATTATAGATATGCAAATCAATAAAGATGAAAAAGAAAAAAAATGGATAAAATAACTCAGAAGATGGAGAAATAACTTGTACTAATCAACAGGGTTATTGTTGGGACAAGTATTCAATTTGAAAAAGAGGAAAAGATGAAGTAAATATGAGAAAGATGATTTAAGATAAACACATTTTCAGATGAAAATTACAATAACATAGTACTCTAACTACTGGAAAGGTTCCTCTGTAAAATTAGTTTAATTCCTAGGATGATCATTAGGATGTTTTGTTACATGGACACACTGGCTGGACAGCTGCCTAAAGAATGCTTTTAGAGTGCAGTGGTGTCATGGTAACTCAACTGCAATTTCAAACTCCTGGGCTCAAGCGATCCTCCCACTTCAGCTTCCTGAGTCGCTGGGGCTGCAAGTGCGCCACCACACCCTGCTAACTCTTCTATTTTTTTTTGTAGAGATGGAGTCTTGCTCTTGCTCAATAAAGCTGGTCTTGAACTCCTAACCTCAATCCTCCCTTCTCAGCCTCTCAAAGTGCTAAGATTACAGATGTGAGCCACCTGCGCCTGGCCTGCCTAAGGAATTCTACATTATCACCTTCAGATGAAGCCCAAATTCATCATCTCCCTCCTGAGAATGCACTGCACTTGAACTAACTTCAGAAGACCTGTAATATCTTTTTTAGAACACTTAGCTGTCTTTGACCTGTTTATAGCATTCTTATACACTATTTTCTCCAGTCCAGCCCAATCAGAGTAATTGTGCTATTATGAATGTGTTAGATCATGGTTGCAGTGCAATTATTCAATCTGTAGTCCTGGTGCATATTTTTCACTTGAATATGTGAGGTAGAAAGGTTCAAGTGGGTTAGGAAAATGCAGAGCTCTTGCATGACTGACAGTGAATCTGGATTTCAGTATAGTACTTTCTTTTAAACTAAATTGATCTGGATATAGGGACAGAGTAAATTCCACCACATACTCTATATTTTTTCTGTAAGGTGGAATAATCAAGGATGAATGGGATTTTTACAGGGGTGAAGTCTGAAGAGGTGATAGGGTCTTTCAACTGGATTTAGTTTAAATAACCACTCTCTATTTGCATTAATTACTCTTTCAAGTCTGATAGACCTTCCTGACTCAAGAGATCAAACTATAGTACCAATATCCCTTCACAGATGAGCATGTGACTCTGTGCTGAGGACAAGTTTAAAACCATTTCACAACTTTCTCAGTTCATGTCAGGCTACTTCTACACTAATAATTTCAATAGTTTTTATCAATCCTATTTCAATAATTAGAAATAATTGATCCTACCTTGCCAGTAAGAAGTATGCTTCCATCGCTGGTACGGGAGACAGTCTACTTTCCTTCTCTAATTTTTATGAAGATTCAATGTCATGTAAGCCCAAAGTCTTTTCCAGTCTCCAACCAGCAGATAATCTGGGTCTAATTAACTCTCAGGCAACAGCGCTCTCATTCCCAGAATCTACAAGGCAAAGAATGTGGTGTTTTTCTTTAAAGGTGGTGTACTATCATTGCCTCTATAACTGATTTGGAGGCAAATTGAAGCAAGGTTAGAAAGTTGAAGAACAGCAGCATTAAGAATGCTGGATTTGGAGTTAATTTTAGGTTTATAATTTTTTTAGTAATCTTAGGCAATTTACTCCTTTTATGTCTCATTTTCTAATTCTGGAAAATGGAGTCATATCAGCGTCAAAGAGTTTTATGAAGATTTAATGACAGTTTATGTAAAAACACAAGTACAAAACCATATCTCTATTTTCTATGCACTAATAGAACCACTTATATTTTCTGAACAATTCAGGATTCATAATGTGACAAGAGAAAATATTTGAAATTGAAGCCACCAAGTAAAATTCAGGCAGTATGGGTCAATCGTTTTCTTTGCGCTGGCATTCTAATCTTGCTGAGGCTCACACTCTGAAACTTTTGGATTACTCTTAAACTCACTCACATGAGGTACTTGCAAAATTCTCATGTTTGCTCTCTGTCCCTCTTAGAAACTTACGCTCGCAACTATGATGTCCGTCTCCTAAGTGCTGTTTCAAAGACGCGGTGTAAAATGCTAGAGACAGGACAAAACCCACCAGAGTGGGCCTTCCTAACACGCTGGCACAAAGATCCCGAAGGCCTTCAAAGACGGGAGCGGTGACGTGGGCGGTGCCAGGGCGGAGGCCGTCACCTGACAGGAGGGGGACTCGCACCGGGCGAGCGAGCACTGGCGCCAGGCGGAAGTGGGCGGGCCGCTTCTTTCCCTTCCGGAGAGGCGGCGCCACCCGCGCGCCGGCAGAGACAGCGAACTGCAGGACCGGCGCCTGCGCACAAGAAAGCCGGCGCAGAGTCTGTTTCCGGGGGCGGGGACGCCGCGGGGAAGGCCAGCGGTCGGGATCCCTTTAGTTTCCGGGGCGGCGGACACGGAAGTGCGGAAACGGAGGCGTTCTCAGGTGCTAGTTTGCGGCGCGGCTGCAAGGGCGAGATGGAGCGGGGCGCGGCGGCGGCGGCAGAGGGTCGGGATGGTCTCCGGGAGCGACGAGGCTTGTTCGAGGTTGAGAGGCAGCAGCAGAACCACGAAGTGCAGCGTCAGACCGGGACAAACGGTCTTCCGAAACACTCCTACTGGTTGGATCTCTTGTTCTTCATCATTTTGGACGTGGTGTTGTTTATCTTTGTGTATCTTTTGCCATGGTGAGTATCCGGAATGCAGGGTTGAAGTGGTGAGGGGCTTAGAGACCATTTACTCCATTTGTGTGGGTGGAGACGGCGAACTGACCTGTCCAAGATCACGTAGCTGGGGAGGCGTGGCGTCGGGTGGGCGGGGGGTGGGCGGAAGACCGGAGCGAACCTGTCCTTCCTTGGCACCTCAGTGTGAGTTTCCAAAGAGGTGTGGAGGAAACTTGACTTCCTATTTTCTTATGATTTGGAGTGAAACCAGCTGCACCACCATGAAGGGACTGGAGAAGTTATTTAGCTTTTTGGCTCTTTATTTTTTTTATCCAGCATTTGGAAGCAGGGGGCACAGAGGTATAGTGAACATTAAATGAGATAGTAGTGATTTATCTACAAGCGGTTTGCCTGAACCTACAGGAGACTCCACAGCCCTCCTGGACTTGGAGTTGACCGTTGTCGCACTATAGGTTAACTCTTCTTAGTCTTCATGCTTATGAGTTTTTACTTCTGAAATTTACACTTCTTGTTAGGCAGTCACTTCTTTCCTCATTCCTATCCCTGCATTTCCACAAAGATTTGGGTGTCTTAGGCCTCATTGTCTCTGATTTCTTTGACAGAAAGGGATGGGTAATTTTTATAAAATTCTCTGTCAAGCCATTTGTAAAGGGAGAAATTCCTCTTTCTCCCCCGTTTTTTGGTTGAGACTGGTACCTCAAGTACAATTTTCTAAAAAATTATCTTAATTTTCAGCTCTGGATAGAAAATGGAAGCCTTACTAGAAATAGTCTAGGTCTTTTCTCCTTTTTATCAATATATAAATCATCTAGCAATAGAAAAGTGGCTAAAACAATCAAGATTTTCAGAAATTGGCATTAAGTGTTAAAATGGGAAAATAAAAGGAAATATTGCTGACAAATACTTGTTTTTTACAGACTGGTTTGCTGATTTCTAAATGAAGAAGTTGACTCCTGGAGTGAATTCTGAAAATGACTACAAACTTCTTGAATAAGGAAGACAGGATTGTGCAGTAGAAGAATTTCAAAACTCTATGGGACTTTCCTTTCATTTTACACTTTTTTCATTTTACTTTCTTTCTCTCTCATTTGGAGAACTCCATTAAATGGATAGGATCTCGCCCATTCATACCCAGGTTCTTAAAACTAGACCCTTGGGTTCATGTTTAAAAACTTTTTCAAACATCTGATGGCTTTATAGGGGCTGAATATAATAAAGTATTTGTATTTAAAGGTTTAGTGTATTCATTAAAAAATATAATAATGTCTTTCCTTTAATGTTTTAAGGGTTGATCAGGTTTAATATGCTGTAAATAATATGGTGAATAATAAGGTGAAGAATTTATAAATTCAAAAGTAAATTACTCAAAAGTGAGGGAGGGATTTTGAGAGAAGGAACAAAGTGTTCTTAGAATGTGTGGAGGCTGTAACACAAAAGATACACAGAAAATGTAGGCCCACAATTTATCTATTGGCACCATTTTGGTTTTTAGATTAAGGGGGACTCTGTTATGAAAAGATACATCATGGGCGACATATTGATACAGTCTTAGAAAAAGTAGATAATATCCAGTATTAGAAAGCTGTCATTCATGTTCTTTTACCTGCATGCCTCCTCCTCTCTTCCTTTAAAACTTCTTAGCCCCTTAAAATGTCTATAATTTACTTAAATGCTTCAGTAAAGTCAATATGATACTTATTCAGTAGATATTTGAACTCTCATTATTGGCCAGCCATTATTTTAAGACACAGCAATGAACAAAAATTCTTGCCTTCATGGACCTTACGTTGTTGTTCTTTAAATATGTTATTTAACAGGAATTTACATTCTAAGGGGATCAGCTAGCATTTAATCAGGCCACACACACTCCCAAAGCAAATGTGAGCACTTCAGAAGCTATTGCTGTTAGCTTTAAAAGCTTTATATGAGAAATGTTAGAAAAATGGGCTGTTGTCATTGAAATTAGTGGCATTCATGTGAACTATCTTAATCATTTTGGATATATTCCCCTTTATAAACAGGCCATAAGATCTAGTAAACTCTCCATTTTCTTCCTTTCAGAATGGCTCTCAGGTGTAGAGTCAAGTTTGGAATTGATTTTGGAGGATTGCAATTGCCTGATGCTGACTACAAAGTTAACATGCCTCCAGGGTATTGTTGCATCTGCCTAAAGAATGTTTTATGGAAGGTATGGTCGAAGCATCTAGAGGGACACAGAACTGGAATTTCACAGAGTTTACCTGTTTCACTGAGTTTACCTGCATGACCTGTTTTTGCACTCCTTGCTGATAATTTCGTCTAGGGCTGGGCGCGGTGGCTCACATCTGGGAGGATCGTTTGAGCTTAGGAGTTCAAGACCAGCTGGAGCAAAGAGCAAGACCCCCGTCTCTACTAAAAATAGAAAGAAATTAGCTGGACAACTAAAAATATATGGAAAAAATTAGCCGGGCATGGTGGCACGGGCCTGTAGTCCCAGCTACTTGGCAGGCTGAGGCAGAAGGATGGCTTGAGCACCGGAGTCTGACGCTGTAGTGTGTTGTAACTGAGCCTGTGAACAGTCATTGTCCCCCAGCCCAGGTAACATAGGGAGACCCCCATCCCCCCAAAATAAAATAATCCCTGTAAAAAAAATGGTGGTAGTATGAAGGTTGAATCTTTCCTACAGATAATAAGAAATTGTATACCTACCATCGAACTGTACCATTGCAGGTATAGTGTCTGTTTACATCGCCCACACTTTGAAGGCTTTTAAAAGTGGATAAATGAAACAAGAAAAGTTGCAAACTCACTATGACAAAAACAAAGACATCAAAACAATAACATCAATGTGATTTTAATCTGGTAAATTCACATACTTAAGTGGAAACAATTGTTTTAATTGTTCCATTTGAAATGAATTGGCATATGAGCAGTTGCAAGGAACAGATTTTAGGGTCTGTTAACCTGAAAATTTTAGGATGTAAAGCGCTCCAAATATCTAGTCCCTGTGTGGCATGGGAGTACATTTGGAGACTTGAGGATATTTAGGGTCAGTGAAGGTTATTTAACGTAGATTATGCTCTAGGTCATCAAATAAGGGCTAAATCTGGCTTGCTACATGTTTTTGTAAGGAAGGCCTGTGTGCTAAGAATAGTTTTTATGTTTTAAAACTATTGAAAAAAATCAAAAGCCTTTCATGACATGTGAAAATTACATGCAGTCGGGTTTCAATGTTCACAATGTTTTATTGGAAAATAGCCATGCCTATTCCTTTACGTATTGTTAATGGCTGCTTTCACACTACAAATGCAGAGCTGAGTAGTTGTTACAGAGAAATTTGTGATCCACAAAGCCTAAATTATTTACTATCTGGATCTTTATAGAAAGTTTACCAACTTTTCTACGAGCTGTGATTGGTGTGCTGAAGTTTAACTTTTATGAACCTCTTGTGACAGACAACATGTCATGATCAGTGAAATTCCAAGTACCCTCAACTTACATTTCCCATAAAATACATAATCCACGGGGGGAGAAGGCAGAGCAAGTGGGGGACACAGTCCATGAATGCAAAGAAAAGTCCAATCATATTAACTTAAAAATCAGTTTATCTTAAAAATTTTTTTGAACTAGAAGCAACTGATTTCATGTGAAAATACAACATTCTGAAGATAAGTATTTAAAACATTACAATTGTTGCATTATTTAAAAAGTTATAATAAGCTTCTAACCAGATGTATAAAAATAAATATGCGCACCCTAGAAGTAAAAATTTTACACATGAATGATTTAGTGAGTAAATACATATTCAATCTGTATTTGGAATGTCGAATCAACATAAAAACAAATGATCAGTTTTCTAGTTTGTTTCAACTGGACAGTACTTTAAAAGAGGCAAAATTGGACAATTTTATTTGATGTTTGCAACTCAGCTGAAAACACAAATCTAGGAAACTGCTGTTAAATACAGAAATTAGCTCAAATGTTTCACATAATATATTTCCAATTGGATATCTTAACCAAATATAAACTAAAAAAAAAAAAAAAACCTACACAAAGTTTTTGAAAGCTATTAAAAATACTTAAAGCCCATTTTTTCTAGTATTTTACAATGTTATAAAAGCAGCCATTAAAAACATTGACATTTCAAATACAATTATACAAACTTTACATTATTTACAAACCCTCCATACTAAAAATTATGTTAAAAATAAGGTTTCTTAAAAGATAAAATTAAATTTAGTTGGTATTCAAGTATTTCTAATAAGAATATAAAATAATAATCAACTACTATTATAGTTAGAAAAGGCTAGTAAAAACTTGTCTACAGATAGAAGATAAAATTTGGCCAAGATCTGGTAAGGTTAAGCTTTTACAAGTAATTGTTTTCTATTTATCTAAAAGTATTCATATTTCATCATTTACATTTTGGAATATTTTAATGCAATTTATGGAATCAGTCAAGATATTAAATATACTAGTTTACTGAATAATTATGAAGTTTACCCATTTAGGAATGTAAATAAACTTAAATTCTATGATTTTCAATTCTCTGGAGTGTACATTATAAAACTATTCTAAACTACAATTAGTTTATCAGATTAGTACAAAATGACAATTGATAAAATAAGGCAATTAAAGTAACTTATTTTCACTTCTAAGGTTACCATAATAATGAAAATTCTTTTATTTTTAAATAAGGTCCTTTCCATGAAAGTAGTTGGGGTAAAATTACTATTTATTTGGAGTATTAAAAAAGGGAAGGCTGCTAAATAAACATTTCAGTAAAATTAAACCTTCTATATGAAAGGCAGAAATTTAATCGGGAAACCTAAATAGATCTTCAGATTCAAGAATGTGAAAAATCAGTAAAATGGGTTGACAAGATTATAGCAGAGAATATGTAGGCAGTTACAGTGACATTCCCAGTAAGAGGGCCCTAGGTTAATTCCTAACACTGGTTATTAGCAGCCCAACATAAACCAAACCAAAATAGAGACCATTCACATTTCATATAAAATTTTAAAAAAATGTAACAAGATAAATAAATATACTAAAGTTTAAGTATTTTAACTTTTTAGCTTACATAGCTGAAATAGGATTTTTGAATATATATAATAGTCAAAGGCCTAATTTATATTAGCTAGATATTCTGAAGATAAAAGTTCTAGGAGCAAAGTTCTGTCTGACTTTGAAAATTTAATTTAAAAACTAATCATTAAGGCATTTTTTTATGCTGTCGAAGTCAAGGATCAAATTTTTTTTAAGACACTTAAAGGGATCATACGTAGTGGACTATCACAGAAGTCAAAAACAAATGAGTGAAGCCTGCTTTTGGTTCCCCATTAGAAAGTGCTTCTTCATGAACCAAGTACTTCTTTGACTAGATAAACTACGTATCACTTGGTATTTTTCCATTAGCATAGTTTATAATCTACACACATGAGTACTGGTTAGTTTAATACTGGTTAGTAGCCACACGATAGAGGGACAAATTTAATTTTTATTCAACTGTAGCATATGGCAAATGAATTGTTATATACCCCAATTTTCTATTTTTCAAAGCATGCCAAGACTATTCAAAGGGAATTTCTAAAACATCCAATAAATTGATCATCATAATGCTTTATATAAATTATACACACACACACATATAAAATGATAATGACTTTAAAAATGCCATGGGTTTTGACTTTATGTATCACTAGGTTTGGTCAGTAGGTTCCTGTTATATTTAAATGGCCTCTGAGAAGTATAAGCTTGCCAATTTTGTCATTTATCTATTACGATGTATGCTAGGTTTACATCTTTGCTCAGAAGGGCAGCTTGAATCCAGACTATTATGTGACACAGGTCCTAGCCGTCTTTCACTCTGAGATAGTGAATTATCATTACAAAAGCCACTGCTTTCTGGAAAACAGAGCTTGGGCCTCTGATGGTATTTCAATCTGTATGTATCAGTCATGCAGCTATCAACTGAAAAATAGGTAGTTAATGAAATTGTCTCACTTGGACTTGTAGAACCAGAGTCTAGTTCTGATTGGCAAAATGCATCAACTGCACCTGAGTTGGCCTGAAAATCAGTTGAAGAGTTGGACGGGTAGTCTGATGTGTCGCCAACACATTCTTTCACTTGAAATGTTTCTTTCCGTCTTTTGTCGTTCATATACATACTCCCTTCTAAACTTGGTTCTGAAGCTGAACTTAAACTGTGCTTCGGAAGACTAGTAGAATCAGCTTTAAACGCCTCTGTAAGATTGACATCAAGTGGAGATTCATTTTTCTCTGGCTGTGGCACACTGGTTATGGCATATTTCTTTGGTGGCAAAGGGGGTGGTGGATTCCGGCAAAGGAGTTTTGGCATCTGACAACCATCAGATCTGCAGGTTGACTGAATTATATATTCCCTGGATAGAGAGTTTGCAGAGTAACATGGTTCTATCATATTTTGTTGCTGGCTGAGGGGAGCAATTTCTGGCTTTAACCCAACAGTTCTCATGTGTGAAGACCACAATGAAGATGGTGAGACTAATTCATTACTGTTCACTCTCTTCCCAGAAGCAGAGTTATCACCATGAAAAGGCAAACCTCTTTTCTCAGAATTTTCTATGCTAAGCCGCTCAGAAAATCTACATTCATTTGGTTTTTCAAGTTTCTGTTCATCTGACTGGTGGATATGCTCTGCTACAGTACTGTCCTTGAGTATTGGTGGCCTGGATGAAGGAAGTAACTTGCCATTGGTTTCACATATATGTGACCTAAAGTATGAAAATAAAAACAAAGCTGAAACCCTGTATGCAAATATGGGAAACTGAAGGAAAATAAACTTTGTCCTGTAGTTTGATTTTCCCAATATATGGTTTATATTAATTTTTTTAACATAACAGAAAGGGGAAGATATTTGCAACCATTAACATTTTCAACTTTCTCTGAATCCAAAAATCTTCATGCCAGAATACATGAATACTTACCAGAAACATCCATCATTACCAAAATCATATTTCTAATAATTAGAGACGTAATTTTAAAAGCTCATTTCAACTTAAAAATACTGAAATTACATTTGTACTAAAATATAGCATAGAACTTAAGGGAAATACTACAACCAAAGAATTCGGTACTCCCAAACACCTTCCCACCAACATTCCAAAGTTTAAAGGCAATAGAGGTAGAAGTGTTTGAATTTTGATATGTAATGCTGTAAGGATGGTCTATTTAAAATAATTTAATCAAGATTACCTCTAATAATTATCTTCTAAGGTAAAGATAAATGATATCACATTGCAAATTATTTTTCTAATATGAATTACATGGAATTGAATTATAACAGAATGGTTAAAATGAGCTGAGGCTTTGTTAGGTAGACAGAGCTATAATCAAATCTTAGCTCCATTCCTTGGGGCACATTACTTAATCTAAGCCTCAAGTGTCTTCTTTTTTTGTAAAATACTACCTACCTTGTAAGAATGCAAAACAATCAGCTATTGCACCTGGCACTTTGCGGGCCTCGATCCTTAGGTCCGCATCCTACTAATAATCCCCAGTAAGGAGGCATCATAACACTGCAGACCCACTGCTTATGTCCTGATAAAGAGTTCCTATGATACATGCGTTTAGGAAAAAGGTGTTTATTTCCAAATATCTGTGATTACCTTTTTATCAAATGATTTTTTATCTGGAGATGTGATTCTGGGTGGAACTCATGAGGTTTATAGCCTGCTTCCAAGTTCCTGAGTTCTTTTCTAAAGCCTGTGGTGGGGAGGAAAAAAAAATTACTTAAATGATCTTATAGAATTTATTCCATTTATATTTCTCTAAATACAAAGATTTCTATAAATAGATAATTCTCTTCCAATTAAAAAACAAAAATGAATTCTTCAAGACTTAACTTAAAATAACAGCTCTTTTTGAACCTTTTATACAAAATTCATGGTTCTTTCTTTAGTTTATTATCACTTGAGGGTGTCAGCAATGGCAGCATAGTGCTATTCCTGCTGGGTCATGTGGAAACGTGTTTCTCCCCTGTTACATGAGACTTGATCTTCACTGACAATGTGTTATGATGCAAAAATCCAGCATTTGAAGACAGATGGCTTGGGTTGAAGTTTGGACTAACTAATTAGCAAGCCTCTTAACCCCTCACAATCTCAGTTTCCTTGTTTATACAATAGGATGATAATCCATTTTACCTACCTCATAGGAATATTAGGAACTTCAAGTGAATTAAAAGGGGTGGGAAGTTATTATGACAGCATATAAAATATTATACCACTACTAATTAGCTATCATTTATTGACTGTTTACTCAAGTTGTAAAAAGAACCCTATGAAGAAATTACTATCATCTTGATTTTACAGATGAGAAAACAGAGGCTTAGAAAGGTTAAGTAACTTGCCCAAGGTTATATAGCTAGCAAATGCAGAACTAGATTTGTATGATTCAAAAGTCCTTACTTATTCTTAACCATGACGCCATACTGTCTCCTTATAATTATTACTTATCTCCAGTTCTGACATATAACGGGCACCAAATAGTTTTTAAATTTAACAGTATTATGAAAAAAGTAATACTAATTTACAGTGTGACTCTTGTTACTTCCAAGCCTGGTTCATGGTAAGATCTCAGATTCCAAGTTAACTATTTTCTCTCACTTTTTTTTTTTTTTTAACTATAGCTAGGTAGAATACAGTGCCATGAAAAATACAGCAGGATCTACTTCTTTTCTCTCTGAGCAGTGATTCTGAGAGAGTTAACTGACAGCCTTTAACAATATTAATGTTCAGAGGAAAACATTATCTACATTTGGATTTCTCTCTACAAAATATTATCTTAACCAAAACAACTCTACTAAAAATGGTTATTGCCCTCTAATCTTTAATACATCTAAATAACATGAATTCTGGACTATCGATAAAGTAGGCCCAACAGAACAAACAAAACCATGAAAGCTAAAACTTGTTTTATAGGGTAAAGATGAAGAAAAGGGAACTAAGATATTTGGATTTATACAGAAATTTACTGAAAACCATCCCAGTTTTTGATACCCCCTATGGGAGAGCAAGTGTTTTATATCTGAGAACCTGAAGGGCAGCAGGGAGCTTTTTCCTTTGCTAAAAAGCACAAGGAACCCGGGCACCAGTATAGTGATAAAAAAATCACAAGAACAAAGCACAGAAGTATCTTTGGAGTTAATTACTTTGTGAACACCATATCACCTACTTATCTCATTAATAGAAATGAAAACTAGAAAACTGTATAGAGTTATGTTAGTCATGTATCCACACAATAGCTACAATTTATGGAATGCCCAGTATGTACCAAGTCTTACATTATTCTAGTTCAGCAGTTCTCAAAGTGTGGCCACAGAACCCTGAAGGTTTCTAAGATCCTTTCAGGAGGTCTATGAAATCAGACTATTTTCATAATAACACTAAGATGTTACTTTTCTTTTTGACTATGTTGACATTTTCACTGATGGTGCAAAAACAATGATGGGTAAAACTGCTAGCATAATTCTAGGCAATGACACCAAACTGTGCTATAGTAATGGTATTCTTCATTGCCGCACAGCTGTGGTTTTTTTAAAAAAAGTCAGTTTCACTTAATGTCTGATGAAGCAGCAAAAATTATTTACTTTGTTAATTTACTAGATTTACACATCTTTTTACTAGTCTTTGTGAGGAAATGGGAAGTGTGCACGAAGCACTTTTGCTGCATACCAAGTATGACAGTTGTTTCATGAAAAAGCATTTATAAGATAGCTTGAGTTATCAGTTGACTTCAGCTGGTTTTATCATGCAACACCATTTTTACCTGAAAAGATGATGGATAAACTTTGGTCATTCAGACTTAGGTATTGGCAGAAATTTTCTTGAAAATAAAAAGAAGTGAACCTGTCACTTCATGGGAAAAAACTGGTATCTTTATTGCCGATGATAAAATTCAAGCTTTTAAATGAAAGTAAGAATTTTGGAAAACTTGAATCCACCAACATAAGTTCTGCAACTTCCCAATACTTATAAAGAATTCCTGCTACTATCTCTGGTGATACTAACCAAAGCTCTTTGAGGTCATCAATCCTTTTTTAAGACTATAACAATACCCTGAGGCCAAAAAGTTTGAAGACTGCTGTTCTAGTTAATAACATTTAATCCTTTAAAACCTCAGTTACAACTATTCTGTGAAACAACTGCCATTTCTACACTCGAGGAGACTGAGGCTCAGGGAAGTTAACTGACCTACCCAATGCCCTACAGCTGCTAAGCAGCAGCATTCAAACCAATCCTGGGTTAACTCCCAAGCACTCAAGTGTGCTCCTGCCACGCCCTGCAGGCCTCTGCACAGGCCATCAATACACAAAGCCATTACACTAAATCTTCCCAGGAAACTGGGCCATTAGTTTGAACATGATATAACATGGCATGTTTTAACATGCTGATGCCCACGGAAGATACTGAAATATTGTCATCACTTCTGTAACATTTCTAGGACGTTTCCTGCAGGCCCCCATATATTCAGTGGCCCTTTTCATCATGTTCATTTGCTCTGTCTCCTCTCACTCTCTACATCTAATCTACCGTACACCAAATCCATGAACTGAAGACCACAAAGAAAATAAAAGAATACAAAATCAAAGTTATCAAAGCAGTGACTTTATTTTTTAAACAGTAACAGAGAACTCTGTCTTAGAGGCTTCTTTAATCCCTAAATTGATCTTCTGGGTACACTTTTAAAAACCACCCTGTCATTCAAAATTCAACTGGAATCCATACTTGATCAAAACATATAAAAATTTACCCTATGAAAACAATCTATATTTGATTATGGTCAGACTCTGTAAGTTAAATCTTGGAAGCAATTTCCAAGAGTCATGTAATCTACATGAGAATTTAATACCCTATGTGTCATATAGCTCACATAGTAAATTAAAAAAACCTAAGATGGCAGAATGAGGGGAACCACCAGTCACCTCATCTGTTTAAGATTTAACACTCTGACTTATACTAAATTGCAGCAAGCTCTTTGATTGTATGATACGTGCCTTTTTGTTACTGTTTCTTCAGAGGCTAGGATAGTATCTAGCACATTAGAAGATATTCATCTGCCGAATGAACAACCGCATGAAAAACATACTGTTTTCTTCTTATAAATCACTCTCACCATTCCCACCACGTTTCCCAACTCACTGATCTAGGAACAGATAAGTGTGAATTGAGACAAATCTTATCTTTCCCTCCCCGCCATCTCAAGTCTACAAGTGCCACACTAATAAAACCTTACAAAGGCAGTAAAATTTATCCCAGAAAGTCTCTCTAGAAGGAATATGTAATTTTTCATGCTTAAGAAAACAGTTGTGGGTAAGCCTGACACTGCCTCAGGCTCAGAAACTTTATCACTCTCTTCAACACCTATTTTATGATTTGAAAAAAGAAATGTAACAAGTAATGTCAAAAAGAACCTCAATAATTTTTCAATGCTTAAAGCTTGAATAATTTTTAAGTTGAAATTATGTTTATTTCTTAGGTTATCCATAATTTCAAGTTTAATATTCACAAATAAGAAAAAGTAAGTATTTAATTCTTGAATAATTCTTTACTCTTATTACAATATCCACACAATAGACAGCAGGAGGCAGCAGAGGTTTTATAGACATGTTTGAAATTGTAATATCACTGTGGCAGGCATTCAACCAAGTGGTCTGACTTCAGAATTCTAACTAACTTAAAAATAGATGTGCTATTTTTCTCTTCTGCTGACACAGACATCCATGTGTCTTTACAGGGAATCCTGGCTCCAGGTTATTTGCTAATCTAAAATAGTCTGATTTTAACACTTGGCACAGAAAAAAAAACCTCAATGTTAAGGCAAGAAGCTTTCGTAATACTAATTTTGATACTGTATCCAAAAAAATCCAAAGCAAAATAGTCAAGAAATCAAAATACATATTTCGTTTGAAAAAATGACCTAGGTTTAAAAGAGATTTATATAGCAATAAAACCAGACTGCTGGTCTAGACAATGTGATCTTTATTCTTGTACAGTGAAATTCCAGATTATATCGGTGATACTACAACTATAAACCCTAACCATTCAAAAGAAATAATTTAATCAATGGCCTGATTTACAGTAAAAGTATATTTAAATGAAATTGCAATATGTCAGAATAATCACAAAACTTCGGATAAATATTTCTGGCTAAATTTACCACATATTAAAAGGAGGGAGATACTTTAATATATAATAATCTATACTATCAGATACCTAAATTTTGGGATGTCACAGAATAAAAAGGCAAGAATCAGTAACTTCTTTTCTCACGGGGATTATAATTTAAAGGAAAAACAAATATTGCTATTTTGCTACAAATTAAATTTCAAACCTGAAAGTTTATATTTTAAAAAATACATAGCTAGCCATTTGTTGCTGTCAGTGGGCCACAGCAACAGAAATTACGTGTTATCCGTCTATGAAACTCTTAAAAGATTTTAACGTGCATAGAAAGAAAATCAATTGATAAAAGTGTCTCTTTCTCTAAATACACTTTCCTATGTATTTATTTTAAATAAACACACTCTTCCGTTTGGCAAAAACATTTTACAGAAAATTTGTATAAACTCTTCCAATGAAATCTTTCACTTACTAATTCTAGGATTTAATATTAAGGATAGTATATTTAAGAATGTGGAGGTACAGACTTTTTGTATAATAAGAAATAAGGGAATTAACACATTTTTTTGATCACTGATTAACTTCTTTCACTCTTATTTGTCGTTTAC